AAAAAAAAAAAAAAAAAAAAAAAAAAAAAAAAAAAAAGAATAAATAAACTGATATTTTGGCTGTCTTTTTCAGCAACAGAAAGGAGGTTGGAGGAGCTCAGATGGTTTGTCCACCTTTTGTTGCCCAGCCCTGAAGATGACTGGGAATGGAGGGAAAGGATTGAGGGATGGAGGGAAATGATTGAGGCTCAGATCATTTCCTTGTGCACTCCTATGGGCTTGCTTTGCTTCCCSTTATTGTCCTGGCAGGATCTGCTCCTGCCCAACAGGACTGGGGGCATGTGAGAGCCAGCCTGGCACTGGGCTTGGAAAAAAACAGCCTCCTTCCTCCCCACAGCATGCAGGAATAACTCAGCCRGAGACAATGTGCTAGCAGTGACTTTCCAGATCAATTTGTAGCCTGACCTAAAGCTTTCCTCCTGCCCAAAGTGAAAGGAGAAGGAAGAAGGGCTATTTTTTTTTTTTTTTTTCATATGTGTCTTTGGTGAGGTAAGTCTAAATCAGAGTGAATGTGAGGTCTTAACACTGAATCTGCTCAGTGCATGCTTTCCAACTCAAGTCATTGCTGCAAGTTTATTATTAGGGAATCACTCTGCAGATAAGGAGAAAGGCTGTAAGCAGGTTTGAAATTTCCTAAAATGCTGATAAGATGGTTAAAAGGAAATAAATCCCAGGGTATAGTCTGACTGTTCCTTGGAGTGAATCTCTAAGTTCCCAGAGTAATAGAGAGCTCTGTATCTGTGGTTTCCCGGAAAGGAAATAATACAGTCAGATTAACTCCGGGAAAGCGGCAGCCTTCCCTTCCTCCCCAGATAACCTGGAGCAGCACAGCCCTCCAGCAACCTCGAGGACATGATCTGGCACCCAGTGTGGCACCAGGGACCCCAATGCTTGGTGCCCTGCACAGGCTCCCCTTCATTGCCATTCCCATGTAATCTCTCCCCTTTCCTCGGAACCGCAGCGCTGCACTTAGGGATGAGGGTTCATGCACGTGGCAAACAGGGGCAACTTTGGTCCTTTCTTTTCTAGGCAGTGTTAATAACTCAGCAGCCAGAAGAATTTGTCTTGCAATCCCCTCTGCAGCTCAGCTTTCTRTTCTCTATTCAAGCAGCATGAATGAACCGAAGCATTTATTTGCATTCTCTTCAAATTGCCCTCCACCACGAGCATGAGAMCTTTGGAAGTTTGTTGCAAGAGTAGTGGAGCCAAGATATTTTAGTCAGGCATGATGTCCCACCACTACCACAAAAATCACTTCAGAGCCACTGCTGAGTTAGAATAAAGGGGACGAGATGCATTTGCTTCACAAAGATCACAATGCAGAGCCGGCAAGAGGAGAAGCAAGGAGGGAGGTCAGTGGATGCAGCATTCCCTGTCCTTGAGTCATATATCCTGCAGGAATTCATAAGATCTGGCAGCTCCCAAGCACATCTGAGAACAGGGAATGGCCTGGTCAAGGGCACAAGGATTTGAGGGGGCTTTATAAAGAAATTCCATCCTGGACTACCATTAAAGACACTGGTRAGGACCTTGAGGATGTCCATTCTTAGGTTTGGGTGGGGTAGGGGGCTAAAGCTTCCTGCCCTGCCAYGGCACAGGGTCCAAGCAAGCCAAGAGCATCACGTTTGCAGGCCAGGGAACCGTGTGCTCTAGAGTGGAAAATGCATAGGGTTGCCTTTAGGTTCCCTTCCCTGGAGTTCCAGAAAAAGGGGGGAAAGTACCAAAGTACCTTTGTTCTCCTTTGGCCTTCACCTTACTGCAGCTTTTAAAAAGTGAAGAGCTGGCTCTTTATGTTATTTTCAGTTCTGGAGAGCAAAGTGTAAAACTTTTTTTTTTTTTTGGCTTTCCACAGTTTTAAAATTGATGCAGTATTTTGTCCTGCACCTCTTGGAGGGCGATGTAACTCTCTCTAAGACGCTCATCTCCAGGACAGCTCTTGCTTTGGGGAGGAAGGGAGCAACAGCACCTGCGTGTGCTCTGCAGAAAGCTCAGACAGCTTGGGTCCCTACAGCGGACACAGGACCATCCGTCCCTCCCTGACCTTGGTGTCACCTTCTGGAATCTTCCAGCAGAAGCAGAAGTGTCCACCCTGGGGCAATTGGATGCAGAGGATGAAGAGCAGGCACCTGAACCGTCTATGTCCCTTCCTCCTTTCAAATCCTGCCTTGCTAAAACCAGTCSGGTCCTGCAGGGAGTGCTGGTTTTGATGAATCAACATTTTCCAGCAGCAGAAGTGGCATTTGCAATTTCCCAACAAGTCCTAATTGAGAGCATTCAGAAAAAGCAAACAAACAAAGGATCAGACCAAACAATGGCAGAGGGCAGGAAATGAGTTGGGCATCTCTGCAGAGCTGTTCTCACCCGAGCAGAGCATCGCTGCCAGGGCGGGAGTGCCAGCAGATAAACAGGGCTGCTCCAGATGGAGCAACCACCGTGGCTGGATGTCCTTTCCCTCCAGACCTGAACCTCTGCCTTTTGGATCAGGCTGGTGTCTCCTGGATGGATGGATTGGACTGCTGGAACTTGGCTGCATGCCTGAATATGGTGGTGGTGGCCTTATGATGAGCAAACAATTGCTCAGTTTTGGGTTGGGTTTGTTTTTGTTTTTTGTGGGTTTTTTTGGTTGGTTTTTGTTTGTTTGTTTGTGTGGGCTTTTTTTTTGCAGTGACACTTGTTCTGATCTCCTGGTTCACCAGGAAAGGTAGGATAATTGCTTCTAGGGAGTCACCTTTAGAAACCACTGGAGCTATATACTGTTAGGTTTGGTGGGAGCTCAGAAACAATATATCTTGCCATCTTTCCATAAACCACAAWATTTTGGCCCAAACCTGCTTGTCACAGCTGAAAGCTCTGCTGCTGGGAATATTCAGTGGGGCCCAGCAGAAAGGGCGATGGAGAGGGATGGAAGGATGATCAGGGAGAGCAGGACTGGCTGAGTAGCACTGGTGTGGCACCTGCAGGAGGAGGCTCCTGTCTTGGGCTYTTGGATCCATCAAGGGAATTTGTATGGAACGTCACCACAGGGAATCGTGAGTGCTTCCTGATTTCATTTTTTATGTCTGTATCTTCTTTTCAGCAGCTCCCCCAGCTGTTGTTCCAGCCTTTCAGTTTGTAGTGGTTTGGCCAGTTTTGTGCTCGTGATAGGATGGGGGGAAATGCATCCTGGCAGGGATGAGATGGCARCTTCCATCTGTGTGGCTCCACTGGAGGCAGTCGGAACTGGTTTGGGAAATGAGGCTGTCAAAACCACAGGCTCCTCTCAGGCCAGCTTTCAAAATCTGTCACCAGCAAAATGCAGCCCTGGCCACTGCTGTCACCTCTGCCAGGCTGAGCCCACCCCACAGAGCCCCTCTGCATGGCTTTCATAAAACTGCCACAGGAGTCCCTCGGCAGAGGCAACACAGCCCTTCCCACCCTCTCAGCCACTCTGGCCACTGGCATTGCTCTGGCAGCTTTTCCTCACAGAAAGTGGCAATTTTGGGGCCAGATTCTTGAAAAGTTTGCGGCAACAGGGGCAAGGAGACTGCCCAGCACRTGGCCAGCAGATTCAGAGCAATTTCTGGATTAAATCCACTTTTAGTACATGGCTTGTCATATCCTTGTGAACAACAAGCACAACCCACAGCAGGGACTTTCCCTGTGCCTCCCACGAGCAGAAGTGGGAACCAGACACACTTTCTCAATTGGCCACGGTGGCTATCCATGATTTTTCTGAGTACAATGAAGAGGTGACATAATTCTTTGCCTAATCGTTACTGTTTCCATTATGTAGCTGAGGAAGTTCAGTCTCCAGCTGCCTGGCTATATTTGGGCTGTGAACTGCAGGAAGTTGATCAGCACGACATTGTTACAGATATTCCCCCTGCAATGTTTCCCTAGCAAGAGAAAACCTCTCTGCCTTCTCATTCTCCAAGCGCTGGGGGTACCAGATGCTCCATATACCTGCTTCAAATCTACCTAATACCCCTCCCTCCCTCGTTCCCACAAAAGGATAATGTGAAGGCATGGCTGAAAATTGCCTTACCCGAGCACGGCCCCGACACCCTAAAGCAGGCATCGGTGCCCTCTCCCCAAGACATGGACACACGAACCAGCACAGTCCTTCCAAGAGATCCACAGCATTTATTCAATTGCTTTGAAGGTGCAGTAGCCTAAGTGCCTGTTTCTGCCCGTGATGCTGGCTCCCCCGCTAGTTGCAGTAGTTTTCCAGCTGGTAGAGGGAGCAGGTGTTGTGGCAGCATTGCTCAACGATCCCGCGCTTCACCTTCTCAAACTCCTCCTGCTGGAAGGGCAGCTCTCCCACCTCGCCGTGCAAGGGACCGCTCACTGCCAGGGAACAAGARGAGAAGCTGTGGGACATGGCAGAGCTGGCTGGTGAGCCCTGCCAATACCCCCTCAGCAGCACCAGATTATTAAGCCAGAGCTGGTTGGAACATGGGAAGGAAGTCGTACAGGTTTCCCCAAGCTGATGCTGCTTGCAGCATCTTCAGGCTCTCTGTTTCCTCTCCCAAAACAATCCTGTGGTGTTGAGAAGATGCCGAGCTGAGTGGCTGTCAGCAGTGTGAGGGATWAAGGGATACAGGGGTTTTATTTGGGATGCTGAGGAGAGAAGAGAAGCCCTGCACTCTCTCTGGGGTGAGCAGCTAGTAAGTAAGATGGTAAAATGGGATGGTCTGCTCTAGAGAGAAGAGTTTGGGACTGCAATGCCCTTCAGGCAGTTACCCACTCCTCCGGGAGCCTGGGCAGACAATTGGGATGTTCATGGGATTGCAGGGACGGTCCAGTTCTGAGGCTGGGTGCATTTCCCAGCTGTTCCTGAACAGCCTGGTTCAGTTGGCTGCCTGGATATAGCCCCAAGCTGACAGCAAAAACATTTGTGTGTGTCTGTGTTCACAGCTGGGGGCAAGTTTTTGGAAGCAAKGATGAAATTAGGGTATTTGGAGACAGATAAAACCCAACAGAATGTCTTATTTGCTGGTGAGAACTTGAAAACTTGTGCACAGATCTGTTCAGGTTTTAGTTGCCCAATGAAAATATGGAAAATAGCAAATAAATCAGTGAATGTTTCCTGCAGGAAGAAAAGAGCCCCTAACAACAAAGAGAGAATGCCTGGAAAGTGAGAATGAGATGTGGTTTCYAGGGTAATACAAGTACAGCACAAGATGAAAAATCCCCAAGCCCCCAAAGTGTGAGGCAATGAGCAAGGCACAAGAGTAACACAAAATCATTATGCTAGTGTGCTAGAAGGGAAATTTGGGGAAAATTTGGTCCAATGTTAAGTAGAAGAGGAAATAGCTAGTCAATGTTTTGTGATTTACTTGTTTTCATCCTTCAAGCCAGCTGTGAGCAGACTGTAAACACAACCAGATTATGTGACAAAGAGCTGGTGGCTCAGGCAAAAGTCCTGAAAAAAGAGGTAGAAAGTCCTCAAATACTTGCATTTTTCTTGGCACAACGAAATTCTCTGTACACTATTTAGGTTATTTGGCTAATGAAACTTCCAACTCGTTTGTGGTGGTCTCTGGAAATTAATAATCAGAGAATGGAGCAAATAACACCCCAGCTGGACATTCTAAACAGATCACAGCAAACCCTCTGCTATGGCATTATCTTGTTTCACCTTACAATGCTATGGCATTGTCCTATTTCACAGGATAGTTATCTACACAGAATAAGGAATTGGATATGAATGAAAACAGTGATGGGAGGAGAAATGGTAGGAAAGATGTATTGTAGTCAGGTGATGTTAAGTAAAGGTCAGTCTTGAAGAGAGGATCAAAATGGATGCGATTTGGGCAGGGGTCTCTTCTGCATCTATTCACAGTCTTGAGTTGTTCGATGTGATTCTCCTGGCTGCACCTGTCAGCATGGATGTGGACAAATGCAGAACARCCTGCATGTTTAGAGATCTAGAAAATACAACCTAAGATGGTGGAAGGGTTGTGCAGCTGAGGAGAGGTTAAAAGTAGACATGGGAACARTATTCAAATATTTTGAAAAGCAGTCGTAAAGAAGAAAGGGCTAGGCTCTTACCCRTGGGCACTATTGAGAAGACAAAAAATAATTTACAGCAAGAGTGGTTCATGTTAGATATTGGGAAGAAACACTCAAGAAGAAGGTGAGTTAAGCTTGGGAATAGGGAGTTTCAGAAGGCAGAAGAAGCTTTTTCTCAGGARGTTTTTACGAACACACCAGACAAACCTGGCTAAGAAACAGAATGGGGACAACTGATCCCATCTTGGGGCAGAAGGAGTCTCCTGGAGTTCCTCCCACCTTTATTTCCTACAGATACTTGCAGGCTGGTGAAACGGCCACATAAAGAAATAAATGAGTTCAAGCTTTCAGGCACAATTCCTTTTGCCCCATAAATCCTCTCTCTCTGCCTGCCTTCTCATCTGCCTTTTTAACCTGAAGAGCTTTTCTCRGGCAATGTGATGCTGTTGGTATGCTGAAGGTATTCCTGGCATTCCCCACGAAGGACATTCCTGGTGTCACTGTCWCTGTCACTGTCACAGACTRGAGGTTGGTGCATTTCACATGACAGAACCCACCCCTGCCACCTGGGCCAGCCCCACTTACCCAGAGGCTGCTCCACATCCCGCCGGGCTTTGGGGTAGTAGAAGAAACCCCGCTCCCCACACACCAGGTACAGAGCCTCCACCAGGTGGGAGCCACAGAGGTGCTGGTTGACAGCGGCGTGGCTGCTCCCGGGGCCAGAAAGGGCCAGAAGGGCCAGGAGAGGCAGCGATCGGATCCACAGAGCCATGGTCAGCAGGCTGAGCCCTAGGGTTAACAGGCACAGGAGACACAGGAAAGTCTAGGAGGTAAAAATGGGTTGGAATCAAGCATCTTATGTCTTTCAGCTCCTCTGGCATGGAAATGAGAGTAGGAGGTGGACATTCTAGTTTGAGAAGGAAGGAATGGCTTTCTGCAWCAGGCCTTACAAGCCACAATAAATTACCATATACATAAGCCCATCTCCATCTCCATGCTTCGTCAGTCTCAGGCTTCCTTCTATCTTGCCTCAAAAGGCTGGAAGAACCATCCCACCAAACCCTACAGCATAATGTCCTTGAGAGCCAAGATCAGCGTACCCCTTCAGAGGAAACCCCTCTGTGCGCAGTCAGAAGGGGCTGTAACGTGGGATGATGGCCCAAAACCAGCACAGTGCGCTMAAAGACCTGAGGAAGCCTCATTTCCTTGGGCCAATGAGCCACTGTTGTCACCACCTGCTACATCAGCTTAAAAAGACAGCTCTGCTAAAGAGATAGAAGGTGAAAGGGAGGCCATCGAACTTACCCAAGAGGTGGAGAGAAGTTCGCTCTGAGGGATGAAGATGGTTGGTAGTAATGTCCCCATTGTCTCTGTCCCATATTTATAYGCTTTACGTTAGCCCCAGTGACACWAGAGCTACCACCAGCCCCACCTCCTTGATGACACTCAAGCCAAAATTTTTGCTACTTGTGCAAATTAATTTCCCTCTGCGTAGCATCCACAGGTCTTTATGCAAGTTAAGACAGAAGCAACTGTTTGCAGTTTCCATCTCATTTAGTCCGCTGTTTTCTCTTCCCWGAAGATCTGTCCTGAGCCATCAGTGACCCTTTTAGCAGGAGATAATGGTGCTATTACAGCTGCAATGATTGCTAATGACACTAATGCTGGCAATAGACACTGTTGGCATTGAGGTGGTTCAACAGCTGTTCCTAAAATGTAAAATTAAAAGCAAACATGTTAATCTGTTTGATTTATGTCACATTGGAAAGGATGCAGCAATGGAACCAAGTGGTTTGTGAAATCATACTACTGTCAGGTGTTGGGAGAAAGAAAACACATTATTGTGCTGAGGCTCACTGGCCACGCCAGAGACACGTGTCCACAGCCTGGGCAGGAGGAGCAATAACATCTGCATTTTTCAGGAGACCTTGGATGGTCATTTGGGCTCAGCACAGGACCAGAGTTTGAGCATTTGCAATTGTGTATGTTAAAAAAATTCAGCCTTTCCCCCTTGTCCCACTGAAAGGCAGGTTCCCTCCTTCACCTGCCCCTTCCAATTCCTGTTTGGGATTARGCAAAGACTCAGCCTCTGCCATTCGCAKCTGGRAGCTCTGAGTATCTCATCTCTGTGRCTCTGTCCAAAATRGTGTCTTCACCACCAAGAAACATTTCTGATAAATCCCAGTGAAAACCGAGAGATATCAGATTATCTCCATTCTGGCTGGAAGGTTCACTTTTAAAAGGAGATGGTGGGTCAGGAGTAGTCCACTGGCTTTTATGGGTCAGATTTTGGCAACAGATCTAGCTCTTCATCTTTTCCCCAACATTATCTGAGTAACTTTTGAGTAATTTTTGAGTAACTTTGTGCTGAACTTTTCTGCCACCAGTAGCGAGCTTGTACTTTTTTTCTGCTCAAAGTATACTTTCTTTTTCTTTTCTCCTTTTATTTTTTTCTCTGCCTGAAAAGGCCCCTTTTAAATGCTGGGGATGAGATCATCTTCAAACTTCCCATTGCTCCAAATTCTGAGATTCCAAGCGTTCAACACCACTGAGTAGGAGACATTTTTATCCTTTTGAACACTCGTGCCCGTTTAATTTAGTGTAAGTCTGATTCTCCATACATGGGATAAATCAGAAAGAAGTTCACCAAAACCAGTGTAGTTCCTTGAGATTCAAACCAGACCTTCGATTTCTTGAACAGCCAAGACAATTCCATCCATCAACATTTAGGAGGTAGGAAGTGCCATAAGCCCCTGTCATGGCTTTGAGTGTGAAGTATCATGTGTTTGCTAAACGACTGTGATTGCAAAAAGGCTGGTGAAGCGCTAAATCTCTGATGAGTGCACAGGGACGGGACCCATTTGCTCAAACGATGCAAGGCAAGGTTATCAGTTACATCCCCTGCCATGTAGGTCTTCCAGCCCCCCTGCTAATAAATCCGAGTTGTGATGCTCAACTACAATTAATAGCATTTCTGCACAATGTGTAACACTATCTCTGCCTCCCTCTCTTCCCCTCAGAAAAGATATTGGGTGTACTTGAATGACCTAGTGGTATACCCGTGAAGAGGGGCTCAGGTTTCAGCAAGATAGGAGTTCAGGGAATTCACTTACTGAGGCCTTCTTACTCCTGGGTAAAGATGGGGAATTAGCAGCTACGTAGGATAAACCCTGGCATTTTACATCAATTGAAGCAGGTTGCCAAAACCAGGAACAGAAGTCCTGTGCGACTCGACTCGTGCTTTACACAAAGGGGACAACCCACAGAATTACCCTCCAGATCCCCCTGGCAATCATTTGYCTGAGGTCATCACACTGCTCGAGGTTCATCAGTCAGGTGATTGCCTTGGAAAGGCTCCTGAGCAGGGTGTTCCCCAGGTTAATCCCATGCTGAGATTTRCCATTTAGGGCTTTCCTGCTTGCACTTTTGAGTGTTACCTGAGCTCACCTGAACTCACATTGTACCAACAGAGAGACTTTGTAAGGAAGCTCCTTCTAGACACTTCCCTTCAGGACTCCCCCCTTCCCTGAGGCTTACACCACTGAAGTAGCAAAAAAAAAAAAAAAGAAAAAAAAAGCTGCTTTATTTTGCTTTGAAAGTGCCATGTCCTTAGCCTGTTGCGTCTCTTACTCTTGGCTAACCAAGTCCTGGAGGTAGCTTCAAAAAGCCCGTGGCATTCCTGCAGCATGCCGCAGTAGGGGAAGGGCTGACTGTACCCGAGCGCTCAGGAATTCCTCTTGGCTCGCTGTAGTTTGGGTACAGAAATAAGCCAGAAGATTTATTGGAAGGAAAAAAGATATCATGCTGGCTCAATGTTCAGCACAGGCCAATTTTTTTTTTTTTTTGCAAAAGTTTCCTACTACGATTTTTTTCCCCTTCCAAAATATGATCACTTTGATTATTTATTGGAAAATGTATTTTCTTACCATAAATGGTCCTTTGGAATATGAAAAATGCTAGCAGTCATATAAATGGATATAAAGCGGATACAAACTGCGGAAAGTTTTGTCTTAGAGGGAAAACTCCCATGTCAGCAGYGAAGTGAGAGAGGGGGCCAACAGGGGAGCCCATTGCTAGATGGAAAAGATTTTTCTACAGAAAAATCTCAGCTTACCCCTTCCAGGCTGGGCTCCCCCTTGATCTCCGTGTCATTAGGCAGTGATGAGCCAAGCACTCATCCATTGTTTCAGCCATGCGTGCCTCCCCTGATCCCCCAGAGCCTCAGGTCCACATTGGGCTCACTTGGCCCAAGGGTGGGAGCGGCTGGGTGGGAGTGGGCTGCTCCTGCCCTCCGTGCTAAACCACCTCCAGACGTGACTCAAAACCACCTCCCTTCCTCACATCCCCCCCAAGCCTGAGCAGTTGCATCAGTGGGAACAAGGTTTAGGCAATCCCCAGTGTCATGTAATCGAGTTTTACAGTCCGCTGCCAGCACAATAAAATCTTTACTACTGTAGATGTCTCGCATTTTGAAACCCCGTCCTGAAAAAATAACAAGCCCGCTACAGGGGAACTAGTTAACAATTACAAGTTTGTGCAAGTTTTAGTGACAGCAAAGGTCAGGGCTGCAGGCCAGCGAGTTCTCAGCACCCAGGGACCCCAGAATGCCACCCACATCCCCCTCGCTGCTCTGACTCCCTGTGGTGGCTGCCACTGTCCTTCCCATGCCTGGGTGCACTGCCCCAGAGGAGCAGCAGGGACCCACACAGCAGTGACCACACAGCTTTTCTTCCCTGCAGCCTGGATTCAGYGGCTTGTGAAGCAAATAGCCCCAGTGCTCATCTGTGCTGTGCCAGCAGCCTCCTGGCACACAGCCTCAATCGCCCTGAGGGGTGTGCATTCCCAGGAGCAGGTTTTGGGGTGAGCAGCCTCAGGGAGATGCCCTGGTATGGCCATTGGTGGGACAGTGCTCTCAAGCACATGGGCCGTGTGAGAGACAGAGGTGCAGCTTTTCCCATGGCACAGGGAAGCAGGGATGCCTCCGAGGCTCAGCAGTTGCACCCTCCAGGCTTCTCTCCTCTCCCTTCATTGGGTGCAGCCACAGCCAGTGGCACGGCATGGAGCTGTGAAGCCACCAGCCTCGGTGCTCCCTGTTCCCATCTGCTCTGCTCCCATTACAGTGCCCAGCACACGGGCAGTGGCACCTGTGTGAGATGAAGGGCAGGGAGCTGAGCCTGGCACCGAGGAGGGGGATTAATCCTGGGCAGGCTTGTGAAGATGCCGTGGGGAGAGAAGGGGCTGCCACAGCACAGGGTGAGGCTTGGGTTTATCTGGAGCCACACCATGAGAGATGCCCTCGCTCCAGAGGGGCRTTGTGCAAGCAGAGCAGGGGATGCTCACTGGGATACCAGTAATCCCAGCTGCTTCCATAAACTAATCCAGGCAGGCACGAGAACCATCCCCACTGCCCCACTGCCCACCAGGCTCAGCAAGGTGCTCCTGCAGGACTGCGGACTCCACAATTTTCGAGGGTCTTCCAGGCCAGGGACATTATCCTGTTTCTTAGAACACAGAGTGTGTATTCATAAATCATGAATTTATCCCAAAGCCCAGTGTAACCAGCCAGGTCTGACCCACRCATTCCCATCAGCTTTGGGGTAGCTGCATAGAGCAGAGGAGGCTGTGAGTGCAGCCACACTGGCAAAAGATGCTCCAGGGAGCAATTCCCATGAGCCAGTATCTCTCCTTAGAGAGCAAGGGACATTCCCAGGTGTGCTGCAGCTCTGGGAACAGCTTCCTGCAGCTCAAACCCTCGGGCCACCCCTCCTGGGTACAGAACACCTCACAGGGAAATGGTGACCTTTGGCAAGCCCAGCTCAGCAGGGCCCACAGAACCTGCAAATTATTACGGCTACATCTTGCTCAAGCCCCTCTAGCATCCTCAGGCTCAAGCCTCTCCACAAGCACAGCCACCCAAGTAAACCAGACCAAATTTAATGATCTCTAGAATAAAGCTCCCAAAATCTTTCCCGTCCACCTCAGGAAGAGCATATGTGAGGCTATAAATAGGGATGGAAAAAACAGCTCTGCTCCTTTTAACCCTATCAAAATATTGCCCGCCATGTATTTTTTGAGAAGGTAAAGAAGAAAATAGCTCCTAAGAGCCGTTATTAGTTCCTAGACACAGCTATTAGCAGACGCAGCAGAACAAATTAGTTTGTTTATCAATGAGGAGAAGATTAAATCTGTGGCTATTAATGGCCCCAAAGTAATCCTTGGTGGAGAGGGGGAAACATTAGAAGAGGTGATGACACCCTGCTAGAGGACAAGTACTGAGAAACAAAAGTAACAAATAACTTCCACGGAGTGGAGAGGCACTGGAAAAGCAGCCTGATCAGCACCAATCTAAAAATACACATTTTCAG